TTTAATCGAGGTTCTTGGGGGGGAGAGACAAGCAGATCTCTGGAGTTTGTTGGCCAGACAATCCAGCCAAAATGGTGAGCTCTAGGTTCATTGAGAGACCCTGTCTCAAAAAATAAGTCCCCCGCCCAGGGGTATGTAGGACTGATGGGAAAGACAACGGAAATCCATCTCTGGTCTCTCCATGTTCATGCAGGGCGAGTGAACCTGTGCAGGTATGTGTACATACATGAGCTTTGTTGGGACAGGGCTGTGGCTCGGTGGTACAGCAGTTGCCTATTATGCATGAAGCCCTGGGTTCAATCCCCCAGCACCGCATAAAAATTATCTGTAAATTTGTAATTGTTCACAGTCATGAACAAGCTGATGTGGTGAGGTGGTCTCTTCCAATATATGTACAATGCGTAACTGTGGCAGTTGTGTTGACCCCACGGGAGCCATCGGTAGCTGACCGCAGGCTTCTGTTTTCCATAGGCCAAGAGAATGGAACTGAACTCAAACGCCACAGGTGGAAGGAGCCCACAAAGTCTAGCTTCTCCCTCACTGGGACTGCTTTCTCTCTGGCAGCGGGTACTCCCTCCCCACAAAGGTCTCAGGAAACCGACAGTCCATGGGGCAGCGCCAGATCCAGGACCAGAACCAAGTGCTCCTGTCCACCCAAGTTCAGCAGTGGGCTAGCCCAGGCAGTGGAAGGCAGGACCAAGGGTCCATACACCAGCCGGCAAAGAGTGACCATGGGCTGTGATGTCGGCTTTCTAGGGGATTTGATGGGTTCCCTCATCACTCACTGGACCCAGCTTGCCTCAGTGACCTGAGGAACTGTTTCATGAACTCAGGGTGGTAGCTTCAGGTCTGCAAACAGGAAGTTTGAGCTCTTGGCACACACATCCTTACACCCACCCTCATCCTAGAATCCACAGATTCCCCTCTGTGGGCCAGGCTTGGAGCACATTTCATATGCTACATTTCACATTTAACTCCCACAGTGCCTTTGATGGCCCATCAGATGACACTGGTTTGCCATGACCTGCATGTCATGAGTGCCCCTTGTGAATCTCCACTCAACAGAAACCCAGCCTCCCGAGGAAAGGACTTTCGGCAACCTCTACTGACCGAAAGGAACCTGAGGTTCAGGCATGCTTAGGGGTGGGGTCTCCTACTCCAGGCTTAAGGGTGGGGTCTCCTACTCCAGGCTTAGGGGCGGGGTCTCCTACTCCAGGCTTAGGGGCGGGGTCTCCTACTCCAGGCTTAGGGGCGGGGTCTCCTACTCCAGCTTCTCAGCCAGCCAGTGGCAGAGACGGATTCAAATCTGCTGCTAAACTCCACACTTGGCCTCCTGCCACCCCCCCCCCCCACCTCCCCGCTTTCCTAGACCTTGGAAGAAAGCAGGGATAGCGCTGAGAGAAGAGGCCTTTGCAGGGGGCAGACCCCCTGGCAGCTGTTTCGAACAAGTCCCTGCCCCTTATGCAGGAGAAAAATGACTTCCATCACCAGCCAATGGCTCTGATGCTCTCAGCCCGTGGAGGGCTCCCGGTTCAATCAGCGTCTGCTCACAGTAAACAGCGGAGACTTCCCACTCTCCTGTGGGCCTTGCATGTGCGGAGAGACTTAACTTGGAAAGTTCGCTTTGAGATTTTTGCAATGGTGTGAAAGCAAAGCATCAGTGGGAACGGGACTTGGAGTTTGGGATCCGGTTCTTCCAGGGTAGCGTACATGCTGTGTGTTAAGATTCTCTTGCCTGCAGCTGGCCATGGCAGGGAGCCGAAGCTCCGTATCTGCTCTGAGATCATGACTGGGTAGGAGCGTGCGGGTGTGGGAGGGGACATCAAGGCTCTGCAACATGCTGTTCCTAAACAGGATGGTTGGGAAGTTGGATGGACCAGGTACTTTTTTTTAAATATATATTTTCAATCGACAGTGGGCTTGTTGGGATGCAATTCCCCCCCCCCCCCCACCAAGAAGAGAAGCCTGTGCTTCCCCAAGACCCTTGCTACCACGTGCAGGAATCAGAGTGAAGGCTTGATTCCTTACTAGTCAGGAAGAGGTTCTGGGACCGGGCAGGATTTGACCCCAGTGTGCTCTGTGGATGTCACATTTCATCTATATGTCATTCACATTTCATCTATATGTCATTCACATTTCATGTAGAGCCCCACTGCTCTGGCTCAAGAGGTCAGATTGCCTGCTGGGGAAGCTGCCTCAGCTACCCAGGAGACCCCAAAGGGGCCTGGACCTAGCACAGTGTTGCTTTGGGCACAAGATAAATGTGCCCAAAAGGTCCTATCGCATCTTATCACATCCTAGAGCGCACTACCTATGACTCATTGTGTCCTTTATGTGGGATTGTCACCCCTTGGTCTCATTCAGTCTCAGTGCCCATACTTTGAGGCCTTCATTGTCTCACAGAGGCTCAGAGAGGGTGTGTGTCTTCACCAAGCTCTGGAGCCGTAGGTTTGGAATCAAGCCCAGGTCTCCCTGCTGCTCAGGGATGGACTGCCTTCCTCAGCCTTCTGGGAGGCATGCTCTGCAGGACTGGGGACCACATCACCATTGCCAGCCAGTTCTGACTCCAGACAGATCCCGGAACCAGCTGGCATTTCCCTCCTTGCATGCCCTTTCCCGAAGGCACAGAATAAACCCATGCATTCCACAGACACCCTGAGCAGCTCTATTCTACAGGCTTCACCAATTTCCTCCCCCCGACTCCTTTTCTAATGAGGCAAAAATCTTACTATGCAGATCAGGCTAGCTTCAAACTCATGTAAGGCCTCCTGCCTCAGCCATGTTTCACCTCCCCTGGCTTGGTCCTTGTGTGTTCCAGGGCATCAGCAGGGTCATCTCAACTCCTTGTCTTTGCTATGGTACTCATTTGGTCTGGGTAGGGACATCAATCCCCAAACACAAGCTAACTTGTTTTGTGAGGTTTTCATCCCATAAAGGTTAAACTGGAACTAACCAGCTCCCTGACTCTGAGTGGTAAGATCACAGGGAGTCCCTGACGCTAGGAAGAGGTACAGTGCCTTCCAGGGCCAGACTTGTATGCCCGACTCAAGGCTCCCCAGGGACACTGGGCTGGAAGGAGAGCTGTTTTTCTGGAAGCCTCTTTGCTTTGCCTGGGAGGCATCTCAGGAAGGCCGCGAGGCCAGGGTCTGCCCAGAGTGCACACTGATCCTTCCGTAGACAGAAACAGCCCAGCTACTGAGCAGAGCAGGAGGAGGGAGGTGGAGGCGAGACAGTTCAGTCAAGGTTCAGGAGGAGAATGTCGGATTAAAAGGAGGAGGCAGAGAGAGAACAAAAAATAAATGTCAATTACCGGGTAGCCATCTCGTCCTGATTGCCCCTGTGGTAATTAATAAGCCATTAATAATCAGAGTTTTGGCAGGAAACCATATGGCAATGCTTATAACTCTCTCCAGCCACATCCCCCTCCTGTTCTCCGTGTCGTGTGCAGAGAACTAACACTGTTAGCTGTGGTGTGCTGTTTCAGGGGGATGCTGCCAGGGCTCTGGTGGGTCAGACTGACAGCTCCTTCTCCCGTCAGAGGCCGTGGGGGCGGGGCTATGGGCCTTCGTCAGAGCCATCAAAGCACTGTATCCCTATGTGTCACCTCTATGTCAGTCCTGGCATAAGACAGAGGCCATGTGGTCACATAAGGCTGGAAGGATGTGTCACAACCACTGTGACCAAACCGGGGACTGAAAATGTCCCTTACATGAGGGATGCAGTAGACAGACACTCAGTTCATCCTTGCTTCTACTGGGACAGGCTGAGCTGAGAAAGTTCTGGAAGCTAGAGATAGGGGGGATGTGTATTGCTACTGACTGTTGCTCTGTCCCCCGGCTCTGTTTGAGGCCACTGACATCTGAGACAGTGTCCCACACGTGGACAACTACCTCTGTCTTCGAACCACCTCCTTCTTCAGTGGTAGCTTAAGAATTCCTGTTTGTTTGACCCACTTAATATTTTAACAATGGAGCCCAAACAAAACCATGCCTCAGTCCCTGCGTTTTGCATTTCCACAAGTTTGCACACGCTGCCTCAGAGGGGCCTGGGGGAACACTCTACCAGGAAGTGCACTTGTGGCCAAAAACCTACACATTTTTGTTGGCCTGTCTTTTCTTTGGCTCAAACTGATGCTACAAGCACAGAGAAGCCCAGATTCCGAAGGGTGCTGATGGGGGGTGGGGATGAATCATGGGAAGTAGAAGTCAGAAGCAAATTGGCTCATCTGAGGTGAATGTTGGCTCCTGTTGACTGTCAGTGTGCTGCTTGAATGGATGCATAGGGGTTTATCTGGCCCTGAGAACCCGCCAAGAGGAATCAAAGGCAGATACATCCATAACCAGGAGAAAGTGGGATTCCCAGGGCCACGGAGTCTCTGCCATTAAAGCAGCCTCTGGCCAAGGCAAACTCCGGGCTTCCCTTCACACCCTCTTTAAATGAAGTGACATTTTTACCTCCGCCAGCCAGCCAGGCTCACCAAGTCCCAGCTGGGAGCAAGACATGCTGGATAAGAAGAAAAATAAACCCCAGGATCCAGTGCTCAAGCCCAGCACTGTCTTGGCGCTACAATTTCAGCAGCCACAGAACACTTCGGAGAGATGAGCTAGCGCTTAGCATTTTTGTGCACAAAGTTGAACCTGTGATTTGGGGAGGAGTTGCTAGGTTCGTGTGAGCTCTCTTGAAAAGAAGCCGGTCTAGAATGTTCTACCAGGCAAGGCAAGCTCAGGGATTTCTTCTACTGTTTAAGAACTGATTCGGCCTCTGCCTGGGATGGATCCTTTTTTGCTTGTTTATTTCTGAGATAGGTTCTCATGTAACCCAAGCTGGCCTCAATCTCCCTATGTAGCCAAGGATAGCCAAGATCTTCCTGCCTTCAGTTCCCAAATGCTGGAATTATAGGTGTGTATTACTACACAGGGCTGACTTTTTTTTTTTTTTTTTTTTTAGATGGGGTTTCTTTGTGTAAAAGCCCCGACTTTTCTGACTTTCCTGGAACTTACTTTGTAGACCAGGCTGGCCTTGAACTCACAGAGCTCTGCTTGCCTCTGCCTCCCAAGTGCTGGGATTAAAGATGTGCGCCACCACACCCGGCACCACACAGTGTTTTATGTGGTGCTGGGGATCAAACCCAGGGCTTGTACATGCCAGGCAAGCACTCTACCAATTGAGCTACATCCCGGCCATTTTCTTTGTTTTTTAAACCACACATTTCTCTAACCAAAAGCTGAGTCCCTGGGAGTTGATTTCATAGAGAGAACCAAATAAATGTCTTATCTTTCTGGAAAACAGCACAAAGTCCGAGACACTTACTGGAGGACCTGCAAGACACAAGCAGGAGAGCCGCTGTCAGCATGGAAGGGTTCCCGCCCTGTCCTCAGCACACCCCTGGCCACAGCCCAGCGCATCAGCTCAAGGCCGCCATGGGGTCACAGTATTGCCCACAACGGCCTTGTAAGCAAGGGTCAGTCACAGAACCAAGAAGAGATACTTTCATCCTTGGAGGGGCCTGGGTGGCCACGTGGGAGGCATTGATGGTTCCCACATGCATGGGTTCATGTGTTCATCGTTTGAGGCTGGTTGGCACTTATTTGTGTTCCACTCTGGAAAGCTAAAAGTGAATTAGATCTTGCTTGTCCGATGAGCAGGTTTTTGGGTTTTAACAGGGAGAAGAGAGATAAAGAGGAAAAAACATTTTGGGTAGAGGGAAGGATGGGGGTAAAGGCATGTGACATGTATGGCTGGGCAGAGGTGGGGTGGATCACCACAGCACAGTTCTGGGGTTAGAGGTGCATGAGGAGGTTGAAGGAACAGTCTAGAAATTGTGGTAGTTGCTGTGATGAGGCTTGCCAACAGAAGAAAATGGAGGCTGACTCTGGCCTCTGAACATATATGTGCACACACATACACACACACACACACACACACACACACGCATACCTACACTCAAATACACAAACATACACACAATACTTGAAAAAATTGTGCTTGTATTTAACAGACCATTGTCATTATTCTGAGTATAACAACAATTTGCATCTCGTTTACATTGTATCAGGCACTTAGAGATGATTTAGTGTATCTGTGAGGATGTGGGTAGGTTATACGAAAATATAAAGTCATTCCACATAAGGGACTTTGGCATTGACGGGTCCCATGGGTACAAAGGCTAATGTCAGCTAAGGGGCAGGGCATCCTGGAAGATGGCCTCTCAGTCCCCCAAAGCAATGTACCTCCCACAGATGCATGCTTCCACCAAACCTGTACCTCCTCTGTTTCCATCACACCTCAGACCCTACCCTGTGGGATGAGGCAGCCCCTGACAGTCTGCATGGCCAATGGTGAGCCGGGAGCCTTGTGGGTAGGGAAGGAGACTCATCAGTGAGGGCAAGTGTGAAGAGCCTAGGGGAGTGTTCCTTCAACACACACTTAGAAAAGAACAAAACAAAACAAAAAACAAACAAATCAAAAATAGGGGGCCTATCCTGGCCTGGCCTGCTTGGGAGGGGGGCTCAACTCGGTCTAGAGGGGGAGACAGAATGAATTATCAGAGCAAGGCAGGAGCAGGATGGAGAGAAGCAGAGATGGAAAAGTCTGAAACATGCTTCCAAATCCCGGGCTTTTCCTGAGATGGAAACGGAGCAGGGGAGGGAGGCCCAGCCAAGTACAAGGTCTGTTTCCATGTTATGGAGAGAGGAGGGCTTGATGCTGTGGGCAGTGGCAGGGGGCAGGGCGGGCACTGGAGAGTCAACATGGATGAAGGCTGCAAGAAAGGCCAGAACAGACACTCGAGTGCCTTGCCGGTATTCCTGGCAGGTCCCCGGCAGTGGTGTTAGGAAGGCGCGAGAGCCTGGAGATGCTTGACAAAAGGAGAGACAGGACTTTCTGACTGATGATAGTGGGAGAGGATCTCCATGAAGGCAGGAGAGATGGTCAAGATTGTTGACTGGATGTTTTAATATTCCCACCAATGGTAACAGAAGCTGTGTTTTCCCTAAATCTGGACTGGAGCCTAGCAGGGTGTGGACAACATAAATTCTGAACCTAATGAATGACTTTGCTTCCGGTCTTCCAAAGAAGACAAAAGCCACCGGAAAGACTCGCTGATCATCTTGAGACTAGACGAACATGCCTGTCGGCACCTGTCCATGTGCCTGCCCCTGGGTCCGTCCTCCAATCATGCCCCTCAGCTTCCTGGAGGCACTGACCCGCTCCAATTAAGGCCAGCTTTCTCCTTTGCCTTTCCTGGAGTGACTGACATCCGACAGCTACTGATGCCCACCCGGCTCAGGGCCTGGCTGGTACACACACTAATAAACAGGCACTAAGGAGACAAGGGCAAGAAGGGCAGGAGCTGCCTGTGGGGCCAGCGCCCCTCCTGAAGCCTTCGCGCTTGACTTTCTTACGGAGTTTAAAGGCTCAGCACAGCTTCTGCAGGCAGATTCCGTGGTCTGCAGCAAGTGGGTAACTCAAGAGAGATGGCTTGGGAGGGGGCGTGGCTTAGGTCACCCAGGGGTCCCTTCTTAGAAAGTGAGGCTGGTTCAGGTCCCCCAGTAGACCACATGGTGTGTCGTCCCCCGCCCCCCCCCCAGCCTGGCTCCACAACGCGTTTTGCTCTCTGACCCTTGGGCGCACAGCTTTCAAACATATGTTCTAATCCCCAGAATGTGGGAGCAATTAAAATGCGAGCCAGATGACTTGGCCTGAGGAAGTAGGGGGTTTGCTGAGTCTCAGGACTGTCTACAGAGTGGCTGTGGCCTGCCAGGGCTTCCCAATCTGGGAGCCATGCTCACCCACACCTTGTGGGGGGGCGGGGTAGGAGGGACTGACTGCCTGGGTGGGTGAGCTGCTTGTTTGGCGCTGACAGGTGGGTGGTGGGTCTGGGAGCCCACTCTGTCCATCTGGAGCTTTGGGCTCCTCCGAGGTCAGGCACTTCCCTAATGTCTCCCAAAGGTATGTTTGATCTTCCTGCAGAGGATTTCTGCCAGCTCGGCAGGGCCTGGCCCACAGTGGAGGCACCATCACAGTGGAGGTGGTGGCTGTCCCTGTGGCCTGAGGGTTGCTAGAGTCACTGTCCCTGTTCCCAGGCCCCACAACTGTTCTTGTTGTCCTAGACTCTGCTCCTCGTCTGCCCATTTCCTGCTCTCCTTGGTCTCAACGGGTTTTCTGCCTTGCTCACTTACTCGCTAGCTCCAGTGTGGTGCCGGGGCCAGGATCTACACCCTTAGACACCAAATCCTTCCTTGCATGAGCTCAAGAACCTTCTGCTATGTTTCTCAGGATTCTCTAGGGACGAGAGTGACCCAGGGTTTGTAAACCGAGTTTGTGTGTCGATGGACTAAGGCTGAGGCAAACGCAGAGGCAGTGTGGGCTGATGAGCGGGAGAGTGGGATGAGAACTCGCATCTGTGAATGTGGCGAGTACCCGGGTCTGCCTTTCTGGAAGTTGGGGAGTACTGAAGAAGATTGTGTGTGTGTGTGTGTGTGTGTGTGTGTGTGCTTGTGCAAGTGTGCACCCACGTGTGTACACACATCCATGTGAAGCAACTGGAATAGCCCTAGCACAGGGGAAAGAGCACAGGCTGGAGTTAGAGCATACTCCCTCTCACATACATGCAAGTGTGTGCATGATACACACCACACACCTGCACACATATGCACACAGACCTCGGGAAAAAGAAGAACAGCTGTCAGTTTTCCACTGTATAATTTCACACTGAAGAACCAATGGCCTTGAGCCTGGCTGGACCACAGAGCGAAGGTGCTCTTACTTAAATGGCATTCTAGAGAGGCTTCCAGCCTTTTGGCTGAAATGGGAACCTCAGGTACAAAAATCTCATCTCTGGAATTCAGTGTCACACAGGCTTGCCTGGGGAGGGAGGTTGGCCCAGGCAATTATACCACACACAGGGCTGGGTTTCCCAGTTGCAAACTAAGCAGGGGCAGGTGAGAACTCCATTCTATTTGGACCAGATGGACCTGTGGACACCCAAGGGCCGGGAGGATGCTGTCTGGGAAAAGGCTTTGATTGGGAGAGACTTAGGGACTGGTCCCACGGAGGGCAGGGGGCGTCTGTGGTAGGATAACATTCCAGGTCGCTCCTGTCCCAGCACTCCGAAAGAGCCTTTCTCTCAGGGGCACAGGAAGAGGCCTGCCTTCCATAACGGAAGGTGACAATGTCAGTGTGTGCCTGTGTGTGACACTATCTAGAAATAAACACCAGGCTCATCCAAAGTCAACCGGAGAGGGACAGCAGCTCTGTGTGGCTCTCACTGGCTCTGACCGGGAGAAACACCTCACATGAGGGATGCAGAGGGGGAGGTATTGCCTTGATTAGTGGCCGACCTTAGACAGGCCACTGTTTTCCTTGCAGCCTTGTTTCTTATTCTGCAAATTGGGGCCAAGAACATATTCTCATCTGGCAGTCCTCTGGGGATCCTGTGAAATGGAGGATTCTGAAGGACCCAGCACAGAGCTGCAGATGTGTGCACAGACTCTAGGTTGTCCATGCTTCTCAGCTGCTACGATAAGCAGGGGTGTGCAGGTGTCCCTCCCCCACAGGGACTTCCTTTCTTCTGTATATGTACGCGAAGCTGGTGTCATTGGGTCATACACCCCTTTGAGGAAACTCCATATCGATTTCCACTATGGCACTTCCACTAAGAGTGGGCGGAGATTCGCTCTCTGCACCCGCACATGCTGTCTTCAGTCCTTTGGTGACAGCTGTTCCCGTGGGGCAAGGTGATGCTCCTGACAGTTCTGATTTGCACTGACCTGATGGTTAGTGGTGAGAACATTGCCCCCTGTTGGACATTTTTTCTTTTGTTAAGCCCTCCCCTCCCCCCCATGGGGCCAGTCCTCTTCTTTTGAGATAGACCGACCTGGAACTCACTATTTGGCCTTGAGTTTAGGATGATTCTGCTTCAGTCCCTCCAGTGCTGGGATAACATCCCTACCCCACCCAACTGCTGCCGGCCATTTGTGTGTCTTCTTTTGAGAAATGTCATTTTAGATCTGTATCTGGTTTTTGTGTGTATGTGTTCATATGTGTGCTGGTGCACATGTGTGCATGCATGTGGATGTTGACGTCAGCCTCAAGTGTCATTTCTCAGTCAACATCCATAGTGTTTTAGAAACAGGGTCTTTTCATTGGTGTGTGTGTGTGTCCAATTCTGCAAGGCTGGCCAGCCAGTATCAGGGATTTATCTGCTTATTTCTGTCTCCTCAGCCCCGGATTACAAATGCAGGCCACCATGGCATTTTACGAGGGTGCTGGGCATCAAGTTTGGCTCCTCATGCTTGAGCTGCTGGTGCGTTACTGA